AAAAAAACCAGAAAATGTTAAATTTTTATTTGCATTGGTCAAAAGAAAAAATTAGAAAATATCTTCTCTGTTTTCCGAAGGTACACAACTTTTTTCCTCTCCACACCAAAGAGGTTGAAAAATGCACACTTTTTGAATTGAAGAGAATGACAAGGGCAGAAGAAAAAATGTTGAAAATTTTTTAAAAGACGACTTGGTGAACAGCCTATTTGCTAAGCCGTTTTAAAATTGTTGTCCTGTCAATAAACCAAAATCTTCTTACTGTTCTTTTCTTTTTCCTTTTTTTTCTCATTTTTTGTCCATTCAAACATCCCCTACAAATATTTTTCTTGATAAACAAATGACCATCGAGGAAGTTTGATGGAAAAAGAACAACACCAAGGAAAAACAAAGCCACAAAAAAACCAAAGTTAAACCTTTTTCTTTTCCCTTGTTTAATTATTTCAGCTTTGAAAACAAAAATGAAACAAGTGGCAAAAAGCATTAAAACTAAACTACCAAAAAAATGAACTGCTATATACACCGTTACCTATGTATACGTAATTTTAGTTGCGCTGATCGCTCCCCGTACCTCTCAGATATACACACTATTATTTACACCCGTCATATATAGAGTGGGAGCAATAATTTTAACACCGATGACACTAGTGGAAATGGTATGGATAATCAGCTACTTTTCTGCTGTTCAGCAAAAAAAAGCTACAATTTAATGTGTTACTTCTACAAGATTAGTAGTTTTCTGCTAAATTCCTTCCCACTATCCGGAAATTACAAACCGAGAAGAATCACTCGTACAAAAATTTTCGACACACAAGAACTAAGATATCGTAGGTTTCCTTCTGCAACTTTTTTCCTAAACTTTTTTGCTATTTTTGAAAACATTTTCTTACTGCGTCCTACCATAAACAAGCGCTTTCATTCTAAACGTCCTTATCCATTTGTCTCATCCTTCCTTAATAATGCTTACATCTTCAACAAAACATCCCATAAACTCTTCTTCAACATATACATCCAACAAATCTTAGTCGCCTTTACTTCCAACACTTCTCCTTCCTTCCCTCTGCATGTGCTCCACCAATCAACATACGCATAATTTTTACTACTGAAAGAGGGACAAAAAACTATGTTTCCATAATCGATTTTAACCCCCATAGATTGGAATGGTGAAATCCTGTACTTTTTTATGAGAAAGAGCGGCAAATGGAAGAGAAAGGAATGAATGTGAGTTTAGCTTCGTACTAAAAACAATTCAGGAAAACAAATCAAATTCTGAGTTCCCATCTTTGCACTAATTCTTGCTTTCATAAATATAATAAATAATAAGCAACAGAAAACACAAAAAAAGCAAAACATGCAACAGTAGGCTCAAAGTAAAAAAAAGTATAATATAAAAAAGCAAAAAAACTCACAATTTTTCAAGAAAAAAACTAGAAATTATTGAACCAGAACATATAAAACAACTTCATTTTTAAATAAAGGTCAAGTGTTCTAAGCGTTTATACTACCGCTAACAGCAAAAATATTCCGACCTAAAATGTCAACTTTTGAAATTGCTTATTATTTCAATTTTTCGTTCGTCGATTTCCACCCTTTTACTGTTAAATTCATTAACAAATTCATCTAGGGCCATTAAGAAAAAACAGTATCCGCTAATCGTCCATTTTTGCAACAATATGGTCTACTGGTCGGGAACCGGAAAGTTGAAAAAAGGATATGCCGTCTGAGTTAAAAATAAGACGCCTCCAAAGAAGAACGAAAAGTGAAAAAAGGAAAAAAGAAAAGAAGCATTTAAAAAACTCATACATCTTCACGCTTCTTACGTTCTTCCTCAAGAAGCCTTTTCACCTCGTCCGCTTCGTCCTTCGCTGCTTCGGCCTCCTCACGGGCCTGCCTCATTTTCTTCTTCAAAACATCAAGAAGCGATGTTTGTTGAGCTCCAGCTTTTTCTAGCTTAGACATCTTGCAGAAATTTTAGATTTTTCTACACGAATTTCCTTCCCTTTTTTTTGCGTTACGCCAAATATGGCTATAAAACTTAGGAGGAAAATTAAATACGACGATTCAGCCAGAAAATGGTATTCAGTAAGGCGCAGCAGATGAACCACTCAATCAGGTAACAGAAACCACCAAAAAGCAGACCTTAAAAATTACAAGTGATAAAACGAATGAACGTAACAATAACGTAACGGGCCGGTAAATGTGGTAATGACAGCAACGAAGAAAAAAATAATTAAAGAATGCTTTTTTTTGCTAAATTTGTGCCTTGATAAGCGCAACAGAAAGATTGAAATGACATTTGATGCAATCACAAGTCGCCGCGGCTGCAGCTACAGCTGCACCTCTGACTATTTGGTCGGTAGTTGCTAAAATCGGGTCATGGAAGGGGATGAAAATGAATATAGTAATGCTAATGTTGATAATCGTGATGATAACTGCACGAATAGAGCAAGCAGCAGTCGGCGTCCTAACCGTTGTTCTTGCTGCTGTCGCAGTCGTCTGTTACACGCAAGCCAAAATGTATGACAAAAGGGGATAAAAAACAATAACAACAACAACGACAATAAAAGCACGACAGTTCCCACTCCTAATTAACGATTCGCCATCGATTTAGTTCGCAAACCTATAGAACATCCCTGGGGCAACACCATCTTCAGACATTGTAGAAGCTCCGCACTTGAAAGTGACAAATGAAACTCTATGCGCACACACACATATATACACAACAAACAAATTAAAACTTTGAAATTTTTCACTTCTCTTCCTACAGAAGAGCTTAAGAGACGGAAAAATCGTAGTTTTCCAATGATGAAAGTTTTTCTTTAATATCCTTCGACTTAAACCAACTTTTTTTTTTCTTTGTTTTCAAAATAGTGCTAGAAAGGAGACGGACCCAGTCGCTTCCTCCATATATAACCAACATTTCCCAACTTCTGACTGGTGCTCGATGCTTACATCTAATCTCCCCTTCGGCGTTTCAACCTATTGCAAATGGACTAGTGAGCAACTGCAAGGTTGCGTTTTCCCTACGTAAACACAATTCGTCTAGCCGGAGACAGCAAAACATTCATCATCAGCAACACCGTCGCTGCCTTCTTTCTCAGCTTGTAAAGGTAAGCACTATTACTTCCTTTAACTCAGATACTACAGATTCAATAGTAATAAAAAAATTTACCCCTCAGCTTAGTAAAAAACCCATTATCTTTTCTTCCGTGTTATGCAAACATTAGTTTTGTTGTCAGAGAAGAAAGAGAAAAGGAACCTGAACAGCAGAAAAACCCTCACAAGTTTGATTATCTGTTGTTCTGCAGCACAAATTACTGTTCAGTAAAATGTCAATAAAATGTAAAATAAATGAACTATTCAAATAACAACAAAAAATGCTTGCTTTACAACAAAAAGCTATTCAGCTGATTTTGGCTTGAGAGAAGAAAGCAAAAGAAAAACGGTAACTAATGAGAGCAAAATCGAAAATGATACATAACGAATCACTGCAAACCAAAGCAAAACAAAAACAGTACAGCTGAATACAAAAATTCTCTCTCACTTTCTCTCCTCATTGCTGATAAATATCTTTTCAGGAAAAAAGGTAATAACCCCCATGAAAATAAAAACTTCCAAAGTAAAAAATTTTGCCACTTAATATCCTGGCGGCTCAATTACCTTCTAAATATAATCGGATTTACAATCTAAAGTTCTCAAGATAGCGAAATGAAATTAAAACAAAGTTAAATGCACCAATTTAGTGATCGATTGAAGCAAAAAAAGCAATGATGATGGTCTTTGATACTGCAGCTATCGCTGTATCTCAGCAAAAACTAACTTCCTAAATAGGCAGGATTTAGAACAAGAAAAAAGGTAAGAAAAGGATCAAACTGGACATCAGAAAAGAAATGAAAAAGGAAAACATTTTTCCCCCTCTGGCTTCCAACTATGCAGGGTGTAGCGAAAGCAGAGGAAAAACAAAAAATTTGTTCTGTATGCTCTCTTCGAGCGAACAGATTCCTAGCCAGCGATGGGAAGCATCGTCGCGCAGCCAGCGGTACAATTCGGCAAAAATTTCATTTATTTCTCTTAGAACCAGCAGCCAAACAGCGGAGTTCGGGCAAAAAATCATATGGCCAATGAAATGAGGATAATAAGTGTGGTGATAGAAGAGGAAAAGTGTTTGCATTACGACAAATCAAACAACAACGAAAGAGCAGTGCATTACTGATAACGTTGACGAATTTAGATTACCAAACAACCAACAAACATCATTCCCGTCAGACAGCCACACAAAAAGATTCCTTTGAACTACTGAATAAAACCGGAGAAATAGAGACAAAAATTTTTTGGTCAAACAAGTTTCCTTTAGTGTATGCGTTTCTGTATGTGTGTTTGTGCGTGTGTAAATTGTGGAAAGAGGCACAAACACATAAAAATAGAGAATGAGGTGGTGATGCTGAAGAATAAGAATCATCGTTGTTGCTTTGCTGCTACACATCTGCCTGTTTCGAGGCGGAGAATTAGGCGGGGCTGCTCAGGCTTAGTGTTCGCCTGACAATGCAAATCCCTATTCCCCTCTAACAGCACCAGCAATCAGCCAGCCACCCAACCCTGTCCGCGTGTCTAACTAACTGACTGCCTGCCCGTCTGCCTAGACGCCGGGCCCATTTGGGCTCCCTGCATACGGACGGACGACCCTCACTCACAAAATAACTTGGACATTCGAATTTCTATATTTTTCGTACATAAAGGCATATATAT